GGGCTGGAAGCCATTTTCGTCGGCAATGTAGGAAACGGTGTACGTGTTGCCGTCAGTGCCAACGTAGCTGAAAGATCCGCGGACACGGAGGATGGCATCCTCGGGTTTTGGGCCACGCAATTCAACCTGAGCCGATTCTTCCCTCTTTTGTCCGTCGGACTGTTCGAAGCCGAAAGTGTATCCATCAGTTCCGATGTTGTTCGAGGGGGTTTCCTTGACGAGGGTCACCACATGTGGATCATCCTGGTGTTGGAAGTGGTACTGGGGAGCGGCGAGGGCTACGGCCAGGACGGCGGCGAAAACTGCGATCTGAAATTATTTTTAACAATAATTTAATTAAACATGTTTTTTTTTTTTTTTTTTTTTTTTACGGTTGGCTCGTTCGTACTTTCTAACGTTTCGACTCGGATAAACTACATTTGCGTTATAATTATTGGTATACACGTGCTACAAAAAAATAAAAAAAATAAAAAAATAAAAAAACTACTGACAGCCCAGCCGAGTCTGAGATTCTCGCGTTTCAGAAATCGCGAGCACCATTTATAGTTACGTACCGTCTTCATGTTTAAGAGCGAAAAACAGAGTCCGAAATGGATGCTGGATCAACAAAAACTGTGTACACAAGTGTAGATCCGGACGATTTTATAGGCGCGCGCGAGCAGCGACGACCGGATCCTCCCTGCCTCCCGAAAAAAAATCCTTCTTTTTTCCTCCTCCATCTCCTTGTCCTTCTTGCCATTCACCTTCGCTTTTCAGCTCATCTTTGACATCCCATGGCGCCTTATGGGTCGATGCTATTATAAGATCGAAAATTTTTACTGACCTTCGCGGCTGGTGTGCGCGTGTCGTGTGTGTACGTACGAATATGTCTGTGCACGCGTGTGAGAAGCTACCGATTGGTGGTTGCACCATAAAAAAAAATTGCTGTTTAATTTCATTGCAAATAACTTTAATCTAATGATGAATTGAAAAAGTGTGGTCACTATCAGAAAAAAATTGTTTTTCGTATATAATACTCAATAAAAACTTGAAATGAGTGCACGTATGTGTTGCATGACTTACACATGTGTTTTTGTGAATTTTATTTACCCATACACATTATCCTATATAAAAATTAAATTTTGGTCGTTGTAGAGAAGTGTTGTATGAATATCACGATACTAATTTATTCATTAAATCTGTATTTGTAAACATGATAGGAAAAATTAGTTGTTTAAAATTACTATACCATATATTAAATTTTTTTTTTTTCACCATACTCGAAACTGCTTGGGAGCAGTGCTTATCAAAGAAGTAGTAAAATCACAGTGATATTTACATTTTTTACATCACTTTAGTTTGACAATTTTTAGTATTCTCACATCTGCTTTATACTGCAGTTTTAGTAATTGATTCAATTATTTAAATTAGTGAAAAAAAAAAAAAATTATTTATATAATTCTTAGTTAGACAATATTTATTTACGTAACAAGTGCGGAAAAGACGATTTCCCACACGAGTCGTGATTGACTCGCACAAGTATCTGGAGTTGACGGGAATGAGTACCAGTTGAGCACACGAGTGTGATCGCAAGGCACGAGTTACCGTCACCAGCCACGAGTGTGAGTCTATCATACTATGAAACTTTACTTTGTCTTGTAACCTACAGGTGACATAAATATATAGTAAATAATTAAAGTGAAAATTACATAGAATAAAATATAGTATCACTGTGTTCCATGAGTGATTGGCCTTTTCCAACTGGCAACGTTCATCGTCTCAAGCGTAGGTACCTACGTATCGATCTCTTGGTCAATTTGACAATAATATCATTCCCCGACACTCCACAGTTTTCACGCTCGATCGATACTATAATTCCGTACATACGCGTACACCCGATCTACGCAGTTAGAAAATACTTACTCCACAAGTACTGGCAAACGACACTTGCACATGAATATCCAAGCGTATGTACACGCAAAAAATTAAGTAAGATTATCTTATCCCTCGCTCTTACTTGTGCCATTACAGTGCAAATGTATATACACCTAGTTGAGTGAAAATCATGTATGGATGAAACTTTTTTCGAGTTTCACCTTGAGCTGTTCGTACACATAATGAATGTGTAGCTATACGTATGTGCACTGGAAACAAAAGCTGGCAAGATATTTAACCTGCTTTTACACACCGTTGTGTGGGGAGGAAGAAAGAACTAAATGTCACCCTAAAATAGGTGCAAAAGAAAAAAAAAAAAAAAAAAAAAAGCTCAGCCCACCCTGCCCGTGTACTTGATAAAGTGCATCTCTCAGCTCGAAACAGATGTTGACAAGCTGCACGCGCTCACTTGTGGAGGTGAAACACGCATCATGTATGTACATATACTGTAAGCCAGATGCCGGCTCACATTGTAGGTATATCGTACAAGGTACAAGTATTATATAGTGCTTGTAACAGCAATAACGGCACGCACCACGCTGAAGATGATGCGGAGGGCACGCGCGCGTGTACGCGTGGGTGTGCTTTATATATATACACACGATATGTCTAATATATGAATATAGCTATATATAACACGCCCACGAGCACTACTTGGTATACGACAGCATCGCTCGATAATATCCGGCGACGAGAGAGCGAGGAGGCTCTTTTCATCCTACGGGATGTTGATCAATTCGCTGCTGCTCTGCTTCAATGCTTTATGTACCTATATGTNAAAAAAAAAAAAAAAAAAAAAAAAAAAAAAAAAAAAAAAAACCTGTACAACACAGGACCGGGATCTTCTTTCGAAATTTCAAGGCTGCAAACCTGATGTTGAGGAAAAAAAGAAAGGTATTTCACTCGAAATCGTGGATTTGATTTCTCGACTGCCCGCGTCTTCCAAAGTTTTCTTCGTTTGTGCTTTAATAGTTTCCTACGTATAGGTGCTTATCACGAGAGGATAATTTTAAAGTCAAATTTTGGTGGCTTTGTAGGAAAGGAAGAAAAAAGAAACTAATTATGTATGAATGAATATATTTATTGTTTGCAAGATAAAAAAGCTACGAATTTTTTACTAGTTTTTACAATTTTGCGGTATGAAATGAAAAATTGGTTCTCGATCTCTCGGGTAGCTCGTCGTCCACTGTTGTCATTCGTATTTTTACACTCGTTAAATTGACATCGCTCAAGTACTCCGAGATTTCGACGCAGTAATTAATCAAAGTTAGGCTCGATGCAAGATTCATCGCGATGTCATCCAAAATTGACACTGAAAGAAAAAAAAAAGAAAAATTATAGAGAAATTCCAGCAATAATGCACAGTAAATTGGATGCAAGTTGGCAAGAAAAAAAAAAAAAAAATTATTTTCAATAGTAAAGATTATTGTTTTTACAGTAAAAATTATTGGAAAAATTGCTGTAACAGTAAACCTTAAAATAATTTCTTAATGGAGGACTCGTTATACCAGAGGAGTTTCGTTAACACCTCTATTTTTTTTAATCGATTAAAAATTTTTTGTTGATTGCAGTTTGCACTTTGATGTACATTCATATACTCAATACATTAACATCTCACTATAAGATTTAAAGCATGAATATTAAAAGAGGAGTTGGCAGTCCCACGAGTGTAATATGATAATACATCGTCGCGTTTAAACTAGTTTTGCATTTGAAATTAATTGCTCGTTACGTCACGTTTAACATAAATTAAAATTCAACGAGTTTAGTGCCTCTCTACTTGTTTTAATTTCACATCTGTATAAAGTAAGAGGCTCGAAAAGACTCGCATAACTTATTTTTCACTTATACGGTAATTTTATTAAAGGGAAATAAACATAATAAATAAATGTATATTGTGTCCAAATTGTTAGATTGTATGTATAATTTATACATGTACATACATGTATTTTGGTGTCTGTCATTGAGAAAAATTATATTTCTCAGTTTCTACCTCCTAAATTATTTCTCTACAGCTAAATAATGATATAAGAAGACAAAAATTTTAAAATTCATTCATGCCTCGAGCGCGGAACATAAAAAATAGTACATCAGTTATTTGGCACTTTAAGAAGAACATTGTTTTTATGAATTTAAATTAAAATAGTGAAAGCAAGCCTGCAAAAATTGAAGAAAACCGCCGGAGGTAGACAATGACGTGCCATTTATTATTAATGAAAGTTTTTTAGAGACCATACCATCAGAAACTATT